GCAATTCGAAAGCACGTGAAAGTGCAAGTAGATAAATAGGTACCGCTCCGGCGGGAAGGTAAACGGCGTTTCCGTGTGCTGCTCTGGTTCACCAGAAACAGCTTAGTCATGCTGGCCACATGACCCGGAAGCTGTATGCCGGCTCCCTCGGCCAATAAAGCGAGATGAGCGCCGCAACCCCAGAGTCGGCCACGACTGGACCTAATGGTCAGAGGTCCCTTCACCTTTACCTTTACTCCCAGTTAAGTGTATATAGGGTTTCAGCTGCTATCAATTGTCCTGTGTCACTTCATTTTTTTAAATGCTTGCATTTTTATCATTATTATTTATTGAATTTCTATCACCTGAAGATCATAGGATGCTTTACAATATAAATTGTGTAAGCAGCTGATCCCTGATTTCCCTGTCAACTCAATGCAATGACTCATCCTTAGCCATGGCAGGAGCCACTCAAAATACTGGTGTGTCCTTCAGCGTCATGGAAACGGCTTGAGGCGTCAGGAGCTTCGTGATAGTGAACTTTAGAAGGGGAATCCCGTGTAGTCTGATATCTTGCTGGTGACACGGGTACCTGTGGAGAAAACAGTGCGTCTTCCTGAAATGTGAGATTACTTCCTGTTTTAGAGGGAAACTGAGGCAGGAGGGGGAAGGCAAATCAACTCTTCTCTCCAGAACATGACTCTTACCATAGGAGCCAATTTCTAGGAGGTGAGGTTCCCTTCAGGCCCCCCCCCCAATAAAATGGAATGCTGACTGTTGCAAGTGAATGGAAAACTGGGATGGGGGAATGGAATGGAATATCCTGAAATAGGGCATAGGAACCCTGAACAGGAGCCGCACTCCACGCTGCAACATCCTGTTGCACCGCCCTGTAATACTTCCTGTGATGTTGATGCCATTTTGCAAATGTTGTACAGAAGATTTCAGAACCTATGGATTCCTTTGCTGGAGGCAAAGCCTATATAGGAATGCTCAGCTAGTCTCTCTCTCTCTCTCTCTCTCTCTCTCTCTCTCTCTCTCTCTCTCTCTCTCTCTCTTTCTCTCTCTCTCTCTCGTTCCTTTTAAAGGATGAGGTGCAAGCCGTTACATGCCCAGGTTGAAAAGCTTCTATAGTATAGTGATGAAAACTAGGAGCTCTGAGCTGGGGATTTTTCCTCTTCCAGCTTCAGGACAGGCATGCATTAGAATTAAGCAAGCCATTATCTCTTGGTGTCACACCCCAGCATTTATAATGTGTGTGGTTGGGGGGAGTAATAATATCGGCCCAGTATATAATGCTGTAATTGGGATTATGGAATGAACAGGTGTGAAATGCTTTTAGTACCAAAGGGAGGATACATAGATCGTAAGGATCCAAGGGGACACAGGTGACGCTGTGGTCTAAACCACAGAGCCTAGGACTTGCCGATCAGAAGGTCGGCAGTTCGAATCCCCGCGATGGGGTGAGCTCCCGTTGCTCGGTCCCAGCTCCTGCCAACCTAGCAGCTCAAAAGCACCTTGAAGTGCAAGTAGATAAATAGGTACTGCTCTGGCAGGAAAGTAAACGGCGTTCCCGTGCACTGCTCTGGTTTGCCAGAAGCGGCTTAGTCATGCTGGCCACATGACCCGGAAGCTGTACGCCAGCTCCCTCGGACAATAAAGCGAGATGAGCGCTGCAACTCCAGAGTCGGCCACGACTGGACCTAATGGTCAGGGGTCCCTTTACCTTTAAGGATCCAAAAGTTATTTGCTGTGCTTGGCATTGAAAAGAGGCTGGCGGAAGACCTGCACAACAGCCCTGAACTCAGGTGGGTCACACTCCTAGCATCTTGGTTAACCATCAGGAAAGACCATTAACAACCTTCCGTCGCTAGGCTTGGACTGACACCTTGTGGCTGAAACCCATAATAACCACTGTCTATTTGGTGGGCTCTGCTTTACTTCAGGGTGGGTGAATCTGTCCGTTTTTATTTCTCCCACTTTCTCATTTTTCCAGCCTTGAATTCAGTTCTCCGTATCTTCTTCTTTGGCGATCCCTCGTAGCCGAGTAAGATTGTCTTCCATAAACACGGTTTTAACAGTGAGTCCGTACGTGGCTGTGGAGGCCAATTCTGAATCCACACGTCCTTCCACAGTGGGGACATAAGTTTCTGGGCAGGAGTTGATCATGGTGTGGATTTGCCAAGCATGCCTTCCTCTCAGCACATTTCTCCCTTGTGTCCTGAGTTTGAGTGTCTTCAAAGCCCATGACACCTTTGGTAAAGGCTGTTCTCCAACTGGAGCACTCGCGGGCCAGTGTTTCCCAGTTGTCGGTGTTTATACTACATTTTAAAAGATTTGCCTTGAGAGAGTCTTTGAACCTCTTTTGTTGACCACCAGCATTACACTTTCCATTTTTAAGTTTGGAATAGAGTAGTTGATTTGGAAGACGATAATCAGGCATACTCACAACACGACCAGACCAACAAAGTTGATGTTGAAGAATCATAGCTTTGACACTGGTGATCTTTGCTTCTTCCAGTACACTGGTATTAGTTCACCTGTCTTCCCAATTGATAGGTAAATTTTTTTGGAGACACCGTTGATGGAATGCTTCAAGGAGTTGGAGATGGCGTTTATAAGTGGTCCACATTTCACAAGCATACAGTAAGGTTGGTAGTACAATAGCTTTGTAAACAAGCATTCCCCTGCGAATGTCCTGGTCCTAAACACTCTGCACTTCAATCGAGAGAAAGCTGCACTCACAGAGCTCAGGCGATGCTGGATTTTGGCATCAATGTCTGCCCTTGTATAAGCCCTACATGACTTAGGCCTCAGATATCTGAAAGACCGCCTCCTTCCCTACAGATTTTCCCAGGTGTTAAGATATTGTCTCCCCTTAAATAAATATACATTTGAATGCTTGCCTTGAAAGTTGAGAATAACCAAATAGCATTGAGTCTTTAAAATGTTTTTTTTTTTAAATTAACACAACCCATTCCTTATGAATTCAGCTGCCTCCTGCTCAAGATAGCAGTCATAAATATTTTGAATAAAATATTTTGAATAAATATTGAATAAAATATTTTATTCCACATAATCAATCGCAAGATGAGACACACGGATACCATGTGAATGGCAATGCCCATGGATTTGGTGAGGGGTCTGGCCCCCTCAAATATTTTATGGGGGGTGGGGCTGAAGGAACCTCGCCTCCTAGAAATTGGCTCCTATGGTAAGAGTCATGTTCTGGAGAGAAGAGTTCATTTGCCTTCCCCCTCCTGCCTCAGTTTTCCTCTAAAACAGGAAGTAATCTCACATTTCAGGAAGACGCACAGTTTTCTCCACAGGTACCCGTGTCACCAGCAAGATATCGGACTACACGGGATTCCCCTTCTAAAGTTCACTATCACAAAGCACCTGACGTCCTCAAGCCGTTTCCATGACGCTGAAGGACACACCAGTATTTTGAGTGGCTCCTGCCATGGCTAAAGATGAGTCATTGCCTCGAGTTGACAGGCAAATCAGGGATCAGCTGGTTACACAATTTATATAGTAAAGCATCCTGTGATCTTCAGGTGATAGAAATGTAATAAAGGGGGAAAGGAAGAGCGGGAAGGAAGTCAAACAACAACAACAACAACAACAATAATAATAAAAATAAAAATGCAAGCATCTAGAAAAAAATTAAGTGACACAGGACGATTGATAGCAGCTGAAACCCTATATACACTTAACTGAGAGTAAAGGTAAAGGGACCCCTGACCATTAGGTCCAGTCGTGACCGACTCTGGGTTGCGGTGCTCATCTCGCTTTATTGGCCGAGGGAGCCAGCGTACAGCTTCCGGGTCATGTGGCCAGCATGACTAAGCCGCTTCTGGCGAACCAGAGCAGCGCACAGAAAAGCCGTTTACCTTCCCGCCAGAGCAGTACCTATTTATCTACTTGCACTTTGAGGTGCTTTCCAACTGCTAGGTTGGCAGGAGCAGGGACCAAGCAACGGGAGCTCACCCCGTCGCAGGGATTCGAACCACCGACCTTCTGATCAGCAAGTCCTAGGCTCTGTGGTTTAACCCACAGCGCCGCCCGAGTCCCTTAACTGGGAGTAAGTTCTGTTAAAAACAATGGTACTTACCCCTAAACAACAACAACAACAACAATTCTTCCCCAGCTACTCTGGCTGGCTTAAAGCACATATAAAAACATAGTAAAACATCAAGCATTAAAAACTTCCCGATACAATCGCAGTAAAGGAAGAATGAATACAAAAACTTATGCAGAAACAGCAAAACTTACCAGAAGACTAAGAAATCAAGATAACAAATATTTTATAAAAGAATGGAAATGGTTTATTGAATATTTACAGATAAATTGTAAACAAAAACATTAGCAGGATTATTGTAATAACCTGCAGTTTTATAAGAGTGTGTATTTACAGCAGACAATTAAACGAGCACGTAAAATGAATTTGAATATGCAGAAGATCTTAAACACTAGCCGCCTGAGAAACAGTTTCTATCTAAATGCGATTTTGGTTTTAAACGCAGTGTAAGGAGTCTCTATGGGAGTGTATTGTATTTTTAAAATGGGGTATCAGAGTTTTTAGTGGGCTAACCAGGTTGGGATAGCTGGGATAGCAGGCTTGTTGCTTTTGAATGTCTTACGTAGATATTCCCCCCCCCCCAATTTCGTTGTTCTATATGGGACAATGACAATAAAGATTATCACATCGTATCGTAATACCCCACGTCCAGTGGGTTGTAAACTCCTGCCTTGCTGTTTCACATGGAATCCATGCTCCTCCTAACATAGGAGAAGCAAGACGCACAATTCTCTTATGCCTCACCTGATCGCCTTGGATATTCCATACAAAGTTTCAGAAATGGTAGCCCTGGTGGGGCGGGGGAACCCTCTGCTGGTCTGGGGAGCCCTGGCAAATGCCTGATCTCCTTCTCCAAACCTTGCTGTGTGCTCAGCACAGCACATGACGGTGTCTTGCACCCGGTGGCAATGACCCCGTTCCCCACCCTCAGGCAAAGTCCACAGGGCGGCGAACGAGATAAGACTTTCTCTGAGCGATCCGAGTCGTGCACAGGGCACTGGACTGCAAGGCAAGAGGATGGCGACATGGCCAAACCAAGCAGCAAGGCTCTTGACTTGCCTCTTCACTGTTTACCGGGAGGTGAGTTTGCCGGCTGCCGTGGGACTCATAGCACAGAGCTGGGAACATTGCTGGAAGAGGCAACCCCAGTGAGCTGTGGAAGGGAGGGAACCTTATCCGTGAGGAAAGGCTCCGACTTTGGGGGTATTTTAGGTTTTGAGTGGGTGGGGAACTAAGTTGCCGAGAGGCGAGACATGCCATGAGAGAAGTTATTATTCTTCTCCCCCAGTATTGCTGTGTCTCCCCCAATGGAACCGATGGGCAGTCAAATTCGGAACAAAAGAAAAGCAGTACCTCTTCACCTGGCACATTAAGTGGTTTATGGAACTCCTTGCCACAAGATACGGTGGTGCCTCTTAGTTTAGATGGACATGAAGGAGTTGTGTTGTTTTGCAAATCCGGTCTGATTCAGCACGGCTGTTTTTAGATTTCTGCAAATTAATGGTGTGAAGAGTGTATGGTGGTGAGAGCTTTTTGACTGTTAAAGGCAGGGAAATAGATTTCCCCTTCCTAACCCGTCCTTTTAACATTCAGAAAGAAGTATGAAAAAAAGAAAAGGGGTGTTGGTTTGTAATACATGATTGAACGGCAGTCTGCAACTGAGGGAGGTTAGGACATCTCCATCCTTAGAAATAGTTCAGAAGAGGATAGGCAAGTTTTACTGATGCTGAAATGAATCCTTTCCCTATTTGCCCTGTAAATTTTTCTGTGAGAAAGTTTGAATTAATTATTTAAATTTGGCAGGGGGCGTTGGATGGCAAATGCTGGCTTCAAAATTTAGGCTCATGCTCCCTCACAATACTTTTGATTTTGGCACGTTTCAAATATGAAATCTCGTGGGCCGTCAAATATTAAGTATTATCATTGCATGTGATCTATCAATTACTGAGAGAGGGCAGTCTCGTTGCCTGGACAGCCAGACCCTCCAAGTGCCCTGATTTCACAGGGATAGCCCCCGAATTAGATACTGTTCCGGTTTCTGATTTGTTTCCAGACTGTCCTGCTTGTCCTTTTTGAAGCATATTCCCATTTTCCTTTGAGAAATATTGGAGGGGATGCAATACGATGGCCATTGTCTCTCAAGACAGATGGATGCCAACAAGAACGAACCAATTACAGATTTAAAAACAGTGGAAATAATTGCATCTGTAGAAACAAGGAAAAAATACATGTAAAATGGTTAATTTTATCAATTTACATACGCTCAACAACGTTGCGAAAGGGACTAGTTGGCTCAACAACTAATCCGATTAAACATGTGCAAGTGTCAGCACTTGGTCTGATGGAATTGGTGTCAAAATTTGCGACGGAAAAGGAGATGTGCCCCAAACTGAAACTTTTAAGACACTTACATTTTTTAATTACAATTCACAAGGTTGTTCAAAATAATTAGTGAGCTGTAAAACATGTTCTTTTCTATTTGAGAAAGGTGACCAAAGATCGTCGTATTCCTTATCCTCGCAATTAAAATAAAGTTAGCAGTTTTGAGTCCTTTTCCATTTTTTTCCCTACAAGGAACCTGTTTTTGAACATCGAAGTTAGCAATTTTCCTTTTTTCTTTTTGCGGGGAGTGCAAGCAGTTAGTCTTTCCTAGGGCACAGAATAGCCTGCCACCATCACTCAGGGGCGTAGAAAGGGAGGGCGGTGGGGGTGGTCCACTCTGGGTGTCATCCGGGGGGTGACAAAATACCCCGATGGCAGATTGCGCCACCGCACCACGATCAGACCCCCACTAGGAGGATCATGCTGCCGCGCCACAATCGGACCCCTGCCGGAAGGATTGCCCCGCCCCCGGGTCATGTCATGTGACCACTCTGGGTACCCAAGCAGCTAGCTCTGCCACTGCCATCACTTACTAACCTCCCATCTTCCCATACCATTTGCCAGGGCTGATGGGAGCTGCATAATAACTGCTGCCAGGCCATGGGCTCCCCATCTCTGGCATACCTTATTCCCCTCCCATATTTAATCTGCACAACAACCCTGTGAGGTAGGTTAGGCAGAGAGAGAGTGATTAAATCACCCGGTGGTTGAGTGGGTATGTGAACCTGGTTCTGCCCAGGGCATCACTCTAAGCCAGGGGTCAGCAAACCTTTTCAGCAGGGGGGCCTGGGGTTGGACTATATTTTGAAGAAGAAAAAGAACGAATTCCTATGCCCCACAAATAACCCAGAGATGCATTTTAAATAAAAGGGCACATTCTACTCATGTAAAAACACGCTGATTCCCGGACCGTCCGCAGGCCGGATTGAGAAGGCAATTGGGCCACATCCAGCCCCTGGGCCTTAGTTTGTCTACCCATGCTCAAAGTACCACATCACTCCAGTGTCTTACGAACATTTAGTCAGACTCTCACTGAGATTGCACAAAGCATCCCTGAACTCGTGGTCCCATGGTCCCCTAAGCTTCTTGCGGTACGGCAGGCAATCACACCAAGACTTCCAGTTCCTCTTTGGAATAAACCAGAAGTGGCTTCTCAGCATGCACATTAACCCTAGGTGGGAAATTTGTAAGCATATATTTTGTCACTCGGCCTCATTTCTTCCTTGCTTGCCAACTAAAGGTGTGTTTATCAAGCAGATGGATAGAAAAGCAACATATTTTCCATTAATATTCCATCATTAGAGGAAGACAAGGGAAGCAGAAGTGGATTTGCTGCGAGACCAGCTCATTATAAGAACTTTACAACTTTGGAAACTACCGTATTTTTCTGTCTATAAGACGATGCAATTTGCTAAAAAAAAGTTAGGCAAAAATTGGGTGTCGTCTCATACGAGGATAGTGAATGCAGAGGGGGGACGTGCGATTAGTGGCAGCAGCATCAGAAGATTGGCAGTGGTGATTGGGCGGCTGATTGGTGGCTGCGGCAAGGCCTGCTGGTGATTGGATGTGGCTGCGGCAATTGGGCAGGCGATTGGCAGCTGCGAAAAGTGGGCGGGTGACCAGCAAGAATAGCCAGACCCATTCAGGATGTCTCTGCAACTTTTGAGTTGGAACATAAATGGCTGTAACAGTCCAGAAAAAAGGAGAAATTTTTTTCATATATTAAAAAAGGAACAATTGGACATTATCTGTTTACAAGAAACACATGTGATTAGGCTCCACAGAAAAGTGTTAATAAATAAAAGACTCGGTCAGGAATTCATATCTTCGGACACAGTAAAAAAGAGAGGTGTGGTGATTTACGCAAAAGAGAGCCTTTCACCTAAATTTCTGTTTAAAGACGAACATGGAAGAATCTTGGCAATAGAAATACAACATCAAGGAGAGAAAATTTTGATATTAGGAATTTATGCTCCAAATGAAGGGAAATCGGAATTTTACAAGAAGTTGCACGAGACTATGCTGGATTATCTGGACTACAACAACATCATCATGATGGGAGATATGAATGGGGTCGTATCAACCAACATGGATAAGTCACAGAATCAAAATGTTACTAAAGACGGAAGACTACCAAAGACTTTCTTTGAAATGACAGACAATATGGATTGGATTGATATTTGGAGAGTGAGAAACCCCTTGGGAAGGGAAGGAACATTCTTCTCTGAAGCCCAACTGACCTGGACAAGAATCGACCAAATATGGATAACTAGAGGTCTGGCACCCAAGATTAGAAAGGTGGAAATCTGCCCAAAGACATGCTCCGACCATAACGCACTGAGAATGGACATGACATTGATCCCAACCGGTTCCTTCAGATGGAAGATGAATGATGGCCTGTTTAGAGATCAAGAGATTGCCAAGAAGGCCCAAAAAACTCTAAAGGACTATTTTGAGATCAACATGAACACTACGGTGGAAAAAAGAACTATCTGGGACGCAAGTAAGGCTGTGATGAGGGGGTTCTTGATACAACAGAATACCATAAAGAAAAGGAAACAAAATGAAAGGAAGGACAAAATTCTGGAAAGAATTAAAGAGTTAGAGAAGAAGCTGAGATCTAATCCGAAGTCTCAGCCGATTCTGCGAGAAATTAAACTTCATCAAGCGCAATATTCCAAACTGATAAACCAGGAAATAGAATGGAAGATTAAAACAATGAAACAAAAAACTTTTGAATCGGCTAATAAATGTGGGAAACTGCTAGCCTGGCAGTTGAAGAGGAGACAAAAATTAAATACAATAACAAATTTAGAGATTGAAGGAAGAAGTATTCAGAACCCCGGAGAGATTAGAAAGTGTTTCCAGAGATATTTCAAAAAATTATATACTCAAGGGCCACAAGATGAAACTGAGATGAAACGATTTTTGGAGAAAAACGGACTAACAAAGCTGTCAGAGGAAAACAGAACAATCCTGAATGGCAAAATAACACGACAAGAGATTGAGCAGGCCATCCAGAACATGAAACAGGGCAAATCGCCAGGGCCAGATGGGTTGACCTCCAAGTATTATAAGATACTGAAAGACTACCTGATACAACCACTGATGGAGGTCAGCAATGAAATAATGGAGGGGAAGAAGGCACCGGAATCGTGGAAGGAAGCTTTTATCACATTGATACCAAAGTTGGAAACTGAAAAGACACAACTGAAGAACTACCGTCCCATCTCCCTTTTAAATGTGGATTACAAAATATTTGCAGATGTTTTGGCAAGTAGATTCAAGAAAGTTTTAAATGAAGTAATTCACAAAGACCAGGCAGGCTTTCTCCCAGGTAGACATATGTCTGCTAATACAAGGAACATTATAGACATATTGGAACTTTTGCAAACAGACATAAACACTAAAGCAGTTTTAATCTTTATAGATGCGGAGAAGGCCTTTGACAACATATCCTGGAAGTTTATGAAGGGGAATTTAAAGGAAATGGGAGTGGGTCTGGGGTTCGAGAATGGGATTGATGCAATATATTCAGAACAAAAGGCCAAACTGATAGTTAATAATGTGGTTACAGAAGAGTTTAAAATTGAAAAAGGTACACGACAAGGCTGCCCGATTTCCCCGCTATTATTTATTTCGGTTCTGGAAGTGCTCCTGAATATGATTAGAGGGGACGGGCTGGTGGAAGGGATCCAGGTCAGAGCGAAACAATATAAACTTAAAGCGTTTGCAGATGACCTAGTTTTGACACTACAGGAGCCAGAATCTAGTACGAAAAGAGTATTACAACTGATCCAGGATTTTGGTCGAGTGGCGGGATTTAAATTAAACAAACAAAAAACTAAGGTCTTGGGGAAAAACCTGACAGATACTGAGTCGGAACGGTTTCAGAGAGAGACAGAATTAACTGTGGTTAAGAAAGTGAAATACCTAGGGGTAAACATAACAGCAAAAAACTTGAGTTTGTTCAAAGATAATTATGAAAAATGTTGGTTGGAAATTAAGAGAGACTTGGACAGTTGGTCAAAATTAAAACTTTCATTGCTAGGCCGAATAGCTGCCATTAAGATGAATGTATTGCCAAAAATGTTTGGCAATAAAAATTAAATGCTTAAATGTAAACTAGATTTAAGCTTAGCTAGATTTTAATGACTGAATCTTTTTTTTTTTTTATAAAATTTTTATTGGTTTTAGAAACTTTTTAAACAAAAAACAAACAAACACCAAAAATGACAAACATACACGTATAGTTTCAAACATATTTTCATAAACTTCTTTCCTTTGACTTCCCCATACCCCCCCTCTCTGCATCCCAATGTCCAAAGTTCAACTAGCAACTCCCAATTGTTATTTTCCAATCTCTATCTTCTTAGTCCTTTTTTTAAATTTCTAACCTTATATCCCTGTATCCCTTTATTTCTGGAAACCGCAACATTTTAGCATTCATTAAGTTTATAGTAGTCCTTAAGATAACTTTTAAATTTTCTCCATTCTTCTTCCACCGTCTCTTTTCGTTGGTCACGGATTCTGCCTGTCATCTCGGCCAATGTCATATAGTCCATCACTTTCATCTGCCATTCTTCCAAAGTGGGTAGATCTTGGGTCTTCCAATACTTTGCGATGAGTATTCTTGCTGCTGTTGTAGCATACATAAAGAAAGTTCTATCCCTCTTTGTCACCAATTGGCCGACAATGCCCAAGAGAAAGGCCTCTGGTTTTTTCGAGAAGGTACATTTAAGTACCTTTTTGATTTCATTATAGATCATTTCCCAGAAGGCCTTAATCTTCGGGCATGTCCACCAAAGGTGGTAGAAGGTACCTTCAGTCTCTTTACACTTCCAACATTTGTTATCGGGCAGATGATAAATTTTTGCCAGCTTGACTGGGGTCATGTACCACCTGTAAATCATTTTCATTATGTTTTCTCTTAAGGCATTACATGCCGTAAACTTAACACCGGTGGTCCATAACTGTTCCCAGTCGGCAAACATAATGTCATGACCAATGTCTTGTGCCCATTTAATCATGGCTGATTTCACCGTTTCATCCTGTGTATTCCATTTCAGCAACAAATTATACATTCTTGACAAGTTCTTAGTGTTGGGTTCTAACAGTTCAATTTCTAGTTTTGATTTATCCACTTGAAAGCCAATTTTCCTGTCCTGTTTGAAAAGCTCCATTACTTGGTAGTATTGAAGCCAGTTTTGTACTTTATCCTTCAATTTATCATAGCTTTGTAATTTCCACTTATCTCCCTCCTGTTCCAAAATTTCCCAATACTTCGGCCATCCGACCTCCATATTGAGTTTCTTTACTGCTTTAGCCTCGACTGGTGACACCCATCTAGGGGTTTTGTTTTCCAACAGATCTTTATATCTCATTAGATTTTAATGACTGAATCTAAAGACTATGAACAAAATGATAATCTGCTTGGAAATAATTTTATAAAGATGCAAGTGTGTGGGGGAGGTGTGAGGGAGTCCAAAGTAATGATGAAAAGATGCTAAATAATCAACGTTGTTTTATTAAATATGCCTTTGTATTGAAAAACCTTAATAAATATATATTTTTTTAAAAAAAGAAAAGTGGGCGGGTGGGCTGTTGGTGGAGGTGAGCAGGCAGACAATTGGCGGCTGCGGTGAGGTGTGCGATTGGCAGTGGCTGTGGCAAGCAAATGGCAGTGGTGGGCAGGCGGGTGAGTGATTGATGGAAGTGACCTCCCCCACCCCCACCCAAAAGCTAAACAACTTAATTTCTTAATTTTGGGTTAAAAAAAATAGGGGTCGTCTTAGACATGGGGGCACCTTATACACGGAAAAATACGGTAGTGCCCAAATTTGCTTTTTCCTCCTCCGTCCCCAACCCTCCTCCTTTCGTGTTGTGTCTTTTAGCTCAAGGTAGGGAACTTGGTTTTTTAAATAACTGGTCCACAACCTTCACTGGCAGTTTTTTTTGGGGGGTGAAGATCAAGATAAAAATATCTCGCTGAAGGAAGGGTGGGATATAAACTAAATAAATAAATGCTCTTTAAATAAAGACATACTCCTTTCCAGTCGTTCACTTCCAGATTCGTTCTCTTTCTAGGTTTCGACGTTCAAAGGAGAAGGAGACTGTTTGGATTACTCGTAAGTTACAGCTCCAGCTTCTACCTCTGGCCTGTTCTCCTGTACTGAATATGCTAGAAGGACTGGCTCAGACCTTAAATGGACGAGCGTCCAACCTGGGTGTGGGAAAATTGGGTAGATTAAAAAAATTGGTAGAATTGGTGCAACACGGGTGGCGCTGTAGGTTAAACCACAGAGCCTAGGACTTGCCAATCAGAAGGTCGGCGGTTTGAATCCCCGTGACGGGGTGAGCTACTGTTGCTCGGTCCCTGCTCCTGCCAACCTAGCAGTTTAAAAGCATGTCAAAGTGCAAGTAGATAAATAGGTACCACTCCGGCGGGAAGGTAAACGGCATTTCCGTGCGCTGCTCTGGTTCACCAGAAGCGGCTTAGTCATGCTGGCCACATGACCCGGAAGCTGTACACTGGCTCCCTCGGCCAATAAAGCGAGATGAGCGCCGCAACCCCAGAGTCGGTCACGACTGGACCTAATGGTCAGGGGTCCCTTTACCTTTAACTTAAAACACCCGACAGCTGCTGCTGGCTCGTGTTGACAATACAGATGGACCAATTATCTGAGTCATTACCTTTACCTAAGACAACGGGGTGGAGGTGAGGAAAACCCAATCAAAAACAATTGGCATGGCCAAAAAAACTAGGCTTGAGAAGAAATCCAGACCTTCTCCAGGGTTTCCTTCCCCAGCTCTCGCTGCTGAGAGCTAGAAACATGCATGCAAAGTTTGAGCCTAGAAACTTGCATGCAAAACACATGCTGTGCCACTGAGATGCAGCCTCTACCCAGAAAGTTAGGGAAAATCCAGTAGCAACTGGTAGAGAGGAGTGGCGGGCAAAGCGAGAGCGGCCTTTCTCTGTTTTATTATTATTGATTACTGATGTTCTACAATGTGGTTTTAACAGGGTACACCACCCTGGGATCTATTGATAAAGGGTGGTATATTAAACAGAAATAATAATAATAATAATAATAATAATAATAATAATAATAGCTTTCGTTTTTCTAAACTTTTGCCTCTCTCCTTCTTCAAGGTGTATAGGCAGCTACTGCACCTGCATTGAATGGGCAATGCCTGGCTGGTCCATGTACGTATGGAGTGAGTGTGGGCTGCCCTCCCTGGCGAGTGGATTAGGTGGGGGAATCACTGCTTGTGAATTGGCAGGAGAAGACTTTGGTTTGTCCGTGATCACACCAGCGTTGAGACTCGTCCAATATCAGATTGATGGACTGGAGGAGTCCGTTTATGTGCTGCCAGGGGTCGGGAACCAAATATGGTCCAGGCTATGCCCCCTTCCCAGCCACACCCCCTCTCCTGAAGCCACACCCAGTGCCGGATTTACATATAAGCTAAACAAGTTCTAGCTTAGGGCCTCACTCTCTTGGGCCCCCCCCCAAAAAAAATTAAAGAAAAAAATATGGATGTACATTTCCAAAATATAAGCTAAAAATCAAATAAAATAAAGCCTACATACAGCAACAGTGTTTTGTGTTGTGTAGGCTCCTATGATGTATGTAATGGGTCCCGTCTGCCAGTCTGCTCCCTAAAATATCACTGGTTTGCTCATTTCTATAATAGGGTGCCTACATTCTGCTATTTATAATTATTAGTAGTTTGCATCATATATTTTCACCTATTATTATTTCATGTTATAGCAAGTTTCTAGAGACTAGATTATGAGTCTTTGTAAATTGTGTTTCTAAAGGAACTTTTGTTATTGCCAAACGCCAGTGTGTTTGCATTATTAAGTTTGTTATGAATAAAAAATCATTTTAAGTCAGAGCTTAATAATTATTTCACTATTAATATACTTCTTCTTAATTGTATTTCAGTTCATTAATTACTTTGATAAAATACATATTTTGTTATGTGCAAATGGCTTTAGATACCTATTAGGTCCAAAAAATTACCATATAGCATATATTCAACACAAAAAAACAGCGACAATTTGTTGCGTGGCGATACCCGCCCCCTCCCACAGATGGAATAAATAAAGACACCGGACACCAGAATTTAGGTTAATGGGCGAAAAATGGCCACAACTTTATTGATTACAGGAAAGAGCGGTATTGGCCTTAGGCATTGGCCCCTAGCAGACTATCCGGTCTAACCGGGGAGGGTTAAGCACCAGCCAGGGGAGCCCCCCAGATGTACATCCGTAGGCGCTCCCCAAGGGGTTACCGCTTGGGAGCGCGCTTTAGGCCCTAGCCTCCGTAGGTTTCGGACGAGGCGACGCCCCCCGGAGTCCTTTAACGAACTACCCTCCAAGCATTGGGGGAGGTGATGGCGATCCTCCCCCCGACCTCATTTGCATAACAATACCCCGGCCAATGCCTAACCGCCAAAACCAAGGAGTTGTGACGTTTTGCTACGAGGTAGGCGAAAAAACCAAGTGGCTTAAAATTCAGCCAATTAGCCAAATGGAAAAACTCCTACCAGGACCCCTTGCGGCGACCAGCCAAAGCCCATAGCAAAGCCCGAATGCATACCTAAAGGGTGGGTGGGTGGGAAACCGCGGCTGCTGCAGAAGGAGGAAAAGGGGCGAGCCCAGGCTGCCCTGACCTTAAGTGCCCTTGGGTAGCCCCACCCCCAGCACCAGCCCATTGGCTGGCGCTGCCAGATATGAATAATAATGGGATCCCTGAGTCCCGCGGGGCTGGCGCCAGCCCCGCAAGAGTGTGGATGGGTGCGTGCGCCCGCAACCCCCCCCCTCCGTAGTTCGGGAGTGGATTTGTTGACAAAGGACAGCTGGACATATAAAGGGTCCCATTACCTTCAGTAACTCAGGGCCTCATCAAACCTAAATCCGGCCCTGGTCATGTGCCCGTCTGCATTATATAATAATTTCTTAAGCCTTCCTTAAAAACATTAAAAATCACGAGTATTGTACACTGAAAGGGTCTCATTCCTCTCAGCAATTGTGCTGCCACATTCTGCCCTCTCTGCTGCTTCCAGATCAAGTGTGAGGGAAGCCCCACAGAGAGTGCATTGCAGTAGTCTAATCTTCCACTGCTATACAGTTTTTCTTTTTTGCAAGCATTTTATTCCTGATACAATGCAAATTTGTATGCTCAACTTGCAGGGGGGGTGGGGATGGGAGAAAAACAATGCCCTGGGGCATAATGCAGCCTAGAGAAGGAATGTCTTCTTGGTGGTGGGTTTCAGATATTCTGCATTAGCAGCATGGTAAAAGATAAGGATAAACCACAGAGCCTAGGGCTTGCCGATCAGAAGGTGGGAGGTTCGAATCCCTGCCACGGGGTGAGCTCCCCTTGCTCGGTCCCTGCTCCTGCCAACCTAGCAGTTTGAAAGCATGTCACAGTGCAAGTAGATAAATAGGTACCACTCTGGTGGGAAGGTAAACGGTATTTCCGTGGGCTGCTCTGGTTCGCCAGAAGTGGCTTAGTCATGCTGGCCACATGGCCCGGAAGCTGTACGCCGGCTCCCTCGGCCAATAAAACAACCCCAGAGTCGGCCACAACTGGACCTAATGGTCAGGGGTCCCTTTAACTTTTAAAAAAGATAAAACGTTTCCTTGATGGGGTTTGGTAGATCCAGGAGCTAGACTTATGCTATGTTTCTCCTTCGTCTCCATTCAGAGGTCTCGTCACGGTCATTGGGATTGGCGTGGGCGTGGGCTGCCTGACGGTGCTTTTTAAGTGCTGCTGCGCAATTTGCAAGGACCCGGAGGAGACCGACCGAGAAGAAGTGGCAATACACATGCCCACCTTGCCGCCTGCCTTCACCCCACCTGTGCCCACAGCTCCTCCAGAGCAAGAGAGCATGGATCCTCCTCCCTACAGTGAGGTAACCATCTCATGTGACTCTTTCTTCTGCTCGTGAGATACGGCAGGTATTCCTGCCACAACGACAGCTAGCCTGCTTCAGGTGAGCCAGGAGAGATTTATGGACCTACCTCGAATTGAGAAGTCCATGCCTCTTCATTCCTGGTGCAAAAGTTGAGAAAAATGAGGGTGCAAATGTTGATTAAATCAATTTTGCCTCCTCAAATGATACTGTATGAACCAGGGGTATAGCGTGGGGAGGGCCGGGGGGGGGGCTGTGGCCCAGGGTGCAGATTTTTGAAAGGGCCTGAGCAGTGCCGGATTTAGCTAAACAAGCTATAGCTTTGGGCCCCACCCTCTTGGGCTCCCCCCCAAAATATACTTCTTCTTAATTGTATTTCACTATTAATATACTTCTTCTTAATTGTACAGTCATACCTCGGGTTGAATGCGCTTCGGGTTGAGCGCATTTGAGTTGCGCTCCATGGCAACCCGGAAGTAACAGAGCACGTTACTTCTGGGTTTTGCTGCCTGTGCATCCGCAGACGCTAAAAATGATGTTGCGTGCATGCGCAGAAGCGGCGAAAAGCTGTCGCTAGTTACGTTTGCTTCTAGAGGTGAAAGGGGCTCCGGAACGGATCTCGTTCGTATCTAGAGGTACCACTGTATTTCAGTTCAACAATTACCGTAATTTTTGCTCTATAAGACTCACTTTTTCCCTCCTAAAAAGTAAGGGGAAATGTGTGTGCGTCTTATGGAGCGAATGCAGGCTGCCCAGCTATCCCAGAAGCCAGAACAGCAAGAGGGATTGCTGCTTTCACTGCGCAGCGATCCCTCTTGCTGTTCTGGCTTCTGAGATTCAGAATATATTTTTTCTTGTTTTCCTCCTCCAAAAACTAGGTGCGTCTTGTGGTCTGGTGCGTCTTATAGAGCGAAAAAATACAGTACTTTGATAAAATACCTATTTTGCTATGTGCCAATGGCTTTAGATACCTGTTGTTGTTGTTGTTTAGTCATTTAGTCGTGTCCGTCTCTTTGTGACCCCATGGACCAGAGCACGCCAGGCACTCCTGTCTTCCTCTGCCTCCCGCCGTTTTGTCAAACTCATTATTAGGTCCAAAAATTACCATCTAGCATAGATTCAACACAAAAAACAATGACAATTTGTTGTTGACAAAGGACAGCTGGACATATAAATGGCCCATTACCTACAGTAGCTTAGGGCCTCATCAAACCTAAATCTGGCCCTGGGTGCGAGGCAGCATAACCAGGTGCCCCCATGATAGGCTCCCTCAACCAGAACCAGAGGCAGCTTGGTTGGCAGCCGAAGCTTGAGCTGGTGCAGCCACACTCAGTGCCTAAGGTGCCAACAACCCGCACTATGCCACTTATATGAACATAAAAGAAAGCTACCTCATTTATTAATTTATTTAAAAACATTCTTGAATGCCACCATTTCATACAAGATATCAAAATATCAGTCTCATATAGACACACACATATAGAAGCATGTAAAAAATTAAAATCATGGATCACCAGCTATTAGAGAATACGTTTTCTTAATTGTCTTCATAAGTCTGGTGGGATATACCGAATTATACTGAACCAGACAAACCATGATCACTTTACTGATCATTAAATTTATTACCCGCCCTTCACCAGCAGGCCCCAGTAAAGGTAAAGGGTAAAGGGACCCCTGACCATTAGGTCCAGTCGTGACTGACTCTGGGGTTGCGGCGTTCATCTCGCTTTATTGGCCAAGGGAGCCGGCATACAGCTTCCGGGTCATGTGGCCAGCATGACTAAGCCGCTTCTGGCGAACCAGAGCAGCGCATGGAAATGCCGTTTACCTTCCCACTGGAGTGGTACCTATTTATCTACTTGCACTTTGACGTGCTTTTGAACTGCTAGGTTGGCAGGAGCAGGGACCGAGCAATGGGAGCTCACCCCGTGGCGGGGATTCGAACCACCAACCTTCTGATCGGCAAGTGCTAGGCTCTGTGGTTTAACCCAGTGTTTCCCAACCGGTGTTCCGCGGCACACTAGTGTGCCGCGAGACGTTGCCTGGTGTGCCGCGAGATGTTGCCTGGAGGGAGGCGGGCGAGGCGGGTGGCGAGAGGCGGGGCGGCGGCGGCGAGGAGAGGCCGCCCAGCGTGGGGCTCTCGCCGTCTGCCTGCCTGGCTGCCTGCGAGCTCGGCGGGCAGCGCCTCCGTCCGCAGCGCCCGCCTCGCGGCTCTCATTCCCTGCCCCTGCCAAAGCTCACCCAGCCAAGCCGCGCTCTCCTTCCTGCCTCGCTTTGCTGCCTCCTCCCCCCCCCAAAGCTTGGAGGTTCCCCGGCGCCGACCCGCAGGTTTGACCCCCTTCTCACACCTGTTCGCGCTCATTGCACGGAATGGGGCGGATGGGGAGGAACGGGGCTCGCCGCTGCCTCCGCTCGCCCTCCTCCCCTCCGCCGGCGGTCCCGCGATTCTTGGCTTTTTTGGCGGTTGGCACAGAAGGAAGGCAAGGGGGAGGGAAAAAAATTGAAACTTACACTTTCGTGCGTCCCTCCCGGCGTGACGCTGCGCGCTGACGTCACGGGGCTGTAATGGTGGAGTGCCTCGAGATTTTTTTCATGAAACAAGTGTGCCTTTGCCCAAAAAAGGTTGGGAAACACTGGTTTAACCCACAGTGCCACCCACGTCCCTAGGTGAGGTGCAATTATTTAAAATTCAAAAAATTGGCACCTCTCAGGTGGGGGGCACCTCTCAGGTGGAGGGCCATTCTAAGAGGATGAGGGAGGTGTCCATGGGGAGTTCCGGCCCCTCTTTTTCTAGAAAAGCAGCATTTTCAGATATTTAAACAATTGGGATAAGGAATAGGGAAGGTTTTGAAAACACATCTCAAAGGCCAAGTGAAGCGATGTGTCGTCAGCATTCACCAAAAGCTTCATAGTAGTGTTGAAGAGGGAGTTCCACCACTTTGTGGTGAGGAGCTTCACAACATTTGTCAATCTAGTATAGCCTGCACTGACAGGCAACAGCTCTCCGTGGCCGCAGGCAGGGTCCTTTCCCACCACCTGCCGCCTTCTTTTACATGGAGGCACCAAAGATTGAGCCTGAGGCTTTCTGCAGGCAAAGCACGGTGTTCGTCCACTGAGTCCCTCCTGGCTGGAACTCACTTTTTGCAGATGGCTGCTGTCTTCTGAGAAAGCCACTTCCTCCTTAAGGAGGAGGTGGGGTTGCGGGCTTCACAGCCCCTCCACGTGCCCAGGGGGTGGGAGGCCAGCCCCTGCACAACTGGGGGATTCCCGGTTGCATCGCCCCCTGGCTGGCCAATCAGGTTGGTCTGGGGGTGTGGCCTGGCCCTTAAAGGCAGGACGCAGCCAGGGATCTCCTTCTCTGTCCGCCCACCAGCTGCTCCAGTTTCCCCACCCTCCTGCCCTCTAAGGTTTTCTTTCTTTGACCTTGGTTGGTCGCCGTTGGGGGCACATGGTAGGAATTTTTCCACTTGGCAAATTGGCACCAGCCACTTGGTTTTCGCCTACCTCGTAGCAAATCGTCACAACTTTCTGGGTATTGGCGGTTAGGCATTGGTATAGTTCTGTAGCTGGAAGAGGGGAGGTAGCGCCATCACCTGCCCTGCATATTGAAGGGTAGTCCAATAAAGGATTCCGGGGGGCGTGGCCCTGACTGAAGCCTAGGAGGTGAGGGCCTAAGTCACACCCCCTATCGGTGACCCTGGGGGAGCTCCTAGTTGATGTGCATCAGCAGGACTCCCCCGACTGGTGGTTAACCCTTCCCGGACTTCAAGCAGATGGGCTGGACTCAGATGTCGTTGGTTAGGTCCAATGCCTAAGCCAATACCGCTCATCACCTGTAACCAATAAAGTTGTGACCTTTTTTTTAGCCCATTAATCTTAATAATTGTGTCATGTGTCATTATTTCCACCTGGGGGGGTCGGGAACTCGCTACGCAACCTTCTTTCCACCCTGGAGAAAATCTCCTTCCCTTTTCATTCCCGATGGTTGGGTAGGGTAGATGTGTGTGTTTTAGAGCCCCCCCACCCCAATTCTTCATGTTTTGGCATTGACACCGTTCCTATCATTCTCTCCAGGTTGCTTGGAAGCTACCCTGTTACCCAACTCCTGAGGGACAGCCGCCTGCTTATGACAACATAGCTCTGCATATCTCCGAGCCTCCTGCATACATAACCGAAAGATGACAGCTGAAGAGCGCCGTGTTTCTGCTGCTATTACAACCAAAACTGTGAGAAGAACATAAAAATAATAATAATGGGTGGATCGATCGAGGCTCGCATTCCCTTCCCAGTCTGCAAGGTGTCCTTATATGAAGCACAAAAGCGGGGAATATAGATGACGGCCTTTCCCTTCCACGAACATTTGGTATTCACAGATATACTGCCTCATGAAGGTTCCATTAGGCATTATGCCTAATAGTTGTTGACAGATCTGTGCTTTATTATTACTTTGCCTAATCCCTGATAAAAATCTGCCTGAACTTGTGGCCACCTTCACATCTTGTGGGACTTACTCCATGCTTATCAGTTATTAACTAATCAGGCTAGTAAGTGTATTATTATTGTTGTTATTATTATTATTTATTGAACTTATACACAGCCCCATACCCGGAGGTCTCAGGGTGGTTATCTGTTGAAGAAGCACCTTCCTTGGTTCATCAGATACAGAAGAAAGTGTCTCCATACTCATTGCCTCCACAAGGGTCTTAATTCTAAGCTACAAACCTCAGCCACAGTTTCCCCCACTCCTTTTAATTCTCTCGTCAGCTGAGGAAACCTCCCTGTTGCTGTTGTTTTTAAAAAAATATTTATTGAATTTTCAGATTTTGCACATTTCCCCCTAGACCTTGGACTCTCCTTGTGACTTCTCATCCACCCTTCTATGATGTTCTATGTTTTCCCTTGTGCTGCTTATTATCTTTATAATTATCATCCTAAATTATTCATCTTACTATTTCTAAGCTGTTACTCATACTTCAAATCCTGTTCGTGTTTTCATAATACTGTTTCTCTAGATATGCTATGAAATACTTCCATTCCTCCAAAAACGTTCCTTCATTTTTTATCTCTAATTTTGGCTGCTAACCTTGCCATTTCTGCACATTTCTCCATCATTCTTATAAACCATCTGTCTTTCGTCGGTATCTCATCTTCTTTACATTCTTGAACTCTGCGTGTGATCAGACAGAGAACTGTCTGCACTACACACTTCTGAAATTTGGTTCCTTGGACTTTCAGGTCAAAGGGTTGTGTGTGACTGCCCAATACAGTCGTAGTTTGGTTCTCGGACGGAATCTGTTTTGGAAGTCCATTCGACTTCTGAAAACGTTCTAAAAAATAAGGCTCGGTTCCGATTGGCTGCAGGAGCTTCCTGCAGCCAATCAGAAGCTGTGGAATCCGGCTTCCAAAAAATGTTCGCAAACCGGAACACTCACTTCCAGGTTTGCGGCGTTTGGGAGCCAAAACATTCATCGCAAGGCATTCGAGAACCAAGGTACGACTGTATAGAAATCAACAAATGGGGAATTACCGTACTTTTTGTTCTATAAGACTCACTTTTTCTCTCCTAAAAAGTAAGGGGAAATGTGTCTGCGTCTTATGGAGCGAATGCAGGCTTCACAGCTATCCCAGAAGCCAGAACAGCAAGAGGGATTGCTGCTTTCAATGCGTAGTGATGCCTCTTGCTGTTCTGGCTTCTGAGATTCAGAATATTTTTTTTCTTGTTTCCCTCCTCCAAAAACTACCGTATTTTTCGCACGATTGGACGCACCGGACCATAGGACGCACCTAGTTTTTTGGGGGGGAAATAAAGGAAAAAAAATTCCCTTTATTTCCCCCCCAAAAGCAGGTCAGGGAAACCGAACCAGGTCGAGGAACAGCGGGATAGTGGCGCTGCGCCTCCCTGCTGTCCCCCGAGCTTGTGGGGCTGGCTGATGTCTGCCTGGCGCAAGGGGCGCTCTGCTTCAGGGCGCCCCACCCGCCAGGCAGCAGGCTGCTATCCGCAGCGTGGGGAGCCCTGTGGGGAACTCCTGCAAGCCTCCCCACTCTGCGGATGTCTGCCTGGCGCGAGGGGCGCTCTGCTTCAGGGCGCCCCACCCGCCAGGCAGCAGGCTGCTATCCGCAGCGTGGGGAGCCCTGTGGGGAACTCCTGCAAGCCTCCCCACTCTGCGGATGTCTGCTTGGCGCGAGGGGCGCTCTGCTTCAGGGCGCCCCACCCGCCAGGCAGCAGGCTGCTATCCGCAGCGTGGGGAGCCCTGTGGGGAACTCCTGCAAGCCTCCCCATGCTGCGGATGTGCTCCCAAAGCGCCTGGAGCTCTGCTTTCAGGGCGCCCGACGCTCCGGGAAGCAGGCTGCTATCTGCAGCCTAGACAGGGCTAGCAGAGCGCTAATCCCGAAGCTTGGGGCGTGCGGAGCTCAGCGCGCCCCAAGCTTCTGGGCGCCGGCAAGGTCTCTGCTAGCCTAGCGGAGACCTTGCCGGCGCCCAGAAGCTTGGGGCGCGCTGAGCTCACACGCCCCAAGCTTCGGGATTAGCGCAGCGCTTCGCTAGCCCTGGGAGAGCCGTGCGACGTCGCGGGGCTCTCCCAGGGCTAGCGAGACCTTGCCGGCACCCAGAAGCTTGGGGCGCGCTGTGCTCCGCACGCCCCAAGCTTCGGGATTAGCGCAGCGCTTCGCTAGCCCTGGGATAGCCGCGCGACGTCGCGGGGCTCTCCCAGGGCTAGCGGAGACCCTGCTTGCACCCAGAAGCTTGGGGTGCGCTGAGCTCCGCACGCCCCAAGCTTCGGGATTAATGCAGTGCTCCGCTAGTGGTGGGAGAGCTGGGTCTCCCACTGCTAGCGGATAGCTTCCTGAAGCCTGGAGAGCGAGAGGGGTCGGTGCGCACCGACCCCTCTCACTCTCCAGGCTTCAGCGAAAGCCTGCATTCGCTCCATAGGACGCACACACATTTTCCCTTGCTTTTTAGGAGGGAAAAAGTGCGTCCTATGGTGCGAAAAATACGGTAGGTGCGTCTTGTGGTCTGGTGCGTCTTATAGAGTGAAAAATACTGTATATGGGGGATGTTCTCTGGTATGTCTGTTTGTTTATTGACCTTTCCTCCACGGACCTCAAGTTGGCAAATGTGGTTCTCCCTGCCCACCCCCTCCAGCTCACCCACCTCCCCTCAGCCTAAACAACATAACAAGGTTATTGGGAGAACAAAACAAGGCTGAGATGAGGCTGGAGAGACAGGGACTGGCCCAAGGCCCCCCACGTGGGTTTCTTAGCCAAGTGGGGATGTGGACCAGGGTCTCCTGGATCCTAGTCCATCACTATACTACCCTGGCTTGTAGGCATACCCTCTGCAAGAACTCCTCCAGGAGAATATATGGCTCTTTCCCTGCGTTTATAAGGTTCTACGAAATCCACCTCATAGCAACCTCCCTTTCGCAGCACCAGTGAGTATGTTGCTCAGAAGCAGTGCTTTTTTTCTGGGGGGACGAAGGGGTAACGCATACCCCTAAACATTTTGTGAACCTTTGTACTTTTGTCCATTTACTGTATTTATTTCCCCCGATTTGAACTATAAAATGGTGATTTTCTGAAGTCAAAATGAGAATACAGTGGTACCTCGGGTTACGAACTTAATTCGTTCCGGAGGCCCATTCTTAACCCAAAACTGTTCTTAACGTGAGGCATGCTTTCGCTAATAGGACCTCCCGCTGCCGCCGGTGCGCGATTTCCGTTCTCATCCTGGGGCGAAGTTCACAACCCAGAGCAACTACTTCCGGGTTAGCGGAGTTTGTAACCCAAAGCGTTTGTAACCTGAGGTACCACTGTACCCCCTAAACATTCTTTTTAGAAAAAAGCACTGCTCAGAAGTACCAAGGCCTGTCATGCAAGGCGACCAGGAATCTTAAACGGGGCAGGTCTGAGACTGAGAAAGCGGTTATCGTGTGGGATCTCCAAGCGGAAGATCGGCACACATTCATTTCTTGCATCTTAGTGGATTCCGAGGGACTGACGGGAACCAAATCTTTGAAACGTCACCTCACTCCTTCCGCTGGTTCTTGTTATGGTTGTGTTCATCTGAAATGTTATCTGGCATATCCCCTTACTTGTGGTTTCCAAAGCAATGCTACTGTCACTTGTAGGTAAGGAATCAGTACAAATCTCTCTCTCTCTCTCTCTCTCTCTCTCTCACACACACACACACACACACACACACACTTCGGCTTCCAGATTTACTTTGCTTTTTTTTCACATCTACTTTGCTGAACTGGATGAGACCCAAAGGCTTATGATTTATTTGATTTATGTCGTAATTGTGATGTTCTGCCATGCTATTATTTATTGTATGTAAGCTGCTTTTTTGACTCATGTTGAGTGAAAACCAGCACAGAAATATAATAAAGGAAATGACTTGAATCCAACACACTGTTTTCCACAGTGACTAAGCAAATGGCCTTCTCCTGCTCTTGTTCCTAAATTACTATAAATTTAGGGTTGCCATACACCCGGGATCTCTCAGACATTACTGGGATTTGGCAATGTCGGGAGTGTTGATTTTTCCCCTTAAAAATAGTTCAAAAATTTAATTCTCTTGGAGATTTTGCCAAAAAGCTCAACAACTTTGCTAAACAAAACTCAACAATTTTGTGTCTGGATTTTCACTTTTTGAAAAGGAGGGTACCCCTAAATATTCTTTTTTTTTGGGGGGAAGCACTGCTCAGAAGTAACAATGCCAACCCTATATAAATTAGCAAATGCAAATTTTACGCAAATCTGTGTCTTATTTGGGGGCTGCAGCGCCTCTTTTGAAAAGCAATGGCATTGCAATTGTGTGAAATATACAGTCTGCACAACTAATGTCACAGAATTACATAATATGGTACATTTGAACTTCTGTATAAATATGAACTTCCATGTCTGTTCTGATATTAAAACTTCTGCTGTGTCTGTCCATTTCCTTCTACCTTCCCTTCAGTGTTACACACACAAATCCTTCCCTATTTTTAAAATTCATGTACTTATTTCTCAAACTCAGTTAGATTGGTCCTTGTGTTTCCTTTTTAAAAAAATAATTTGTTATTAATTTTAACATATTGATATCATACATACAATCTTTTTGGACTTCCATCAGCACCTCTGATGATCCACCATTCTTATCACTTCTTCTGTATTTCTTAAATTCATATTGCAATATGGTCCTTGTGTTTCCAATGCTATTTTTTTAGTAAAAGAGGTGCTATAGCTCTTAGAATGGCAACGGCAAATACCTGAGACAGGAGCTCAGCTGCAGCTGAAAAAAAGCCTTGCATATACATTACACATATGGATAACAATTCTATTGAATTTCTTTTAATGATTCTCTGTGTGTGTGTGGTTTCAGCACTTCTCAATTTGACTGTAAGCCACTTTGAGTCACTTTCAGGGGGAAAGGTAGGGTGTCAATAAATAGGTCATCGTCTCCTGTGTTTTCAGCGGCATGGAATTCCT